TTTTTGTTTTTCAGACGAGGCTGAGTTTATCGAACGGTTTATCAAAACAAGTCACAAAGGCTTTGAAAAGTCGTTTAGTTTCACTTTTCAGATATATTGATGATGTCTTGTCTGCATATACCCACAAGGATTGGAATTCAAGGACATAACAGACTCTTCTACGTTAGCCGAATATGTCGATCTTTTTCTACAACGAAACCATCTTTGATAGCTTTCCACCAAGCTGTGTGATAAGCGTGATGCTTTCAATTTCACAATTTGAATTTTCCATTTCCGGATAGCAATATTACTGCATACTCAGCTTATGGTGTTTACATGTCGCAGTTGATTTGATATTCAATTACCTCTTCCCATAATTATGATTTTCGTGCAAGAAGTTGTCAACTGACGGACAAACTCGCATCACATGGCTTTTAATGATACAGGTCGATGAAAACTATTTGGCAGTTTTACGGTCATCATAGTGATCTAATTTAGAAATATTCCGTTTCTTTGTGCGATATGAAGCTGGACGTATTAGATGTGGTTAGTTTGCCTGATGATTTCGTTATTGTATATCTTGCTCTAATTTAAGAACATAACATTACCTATATGGATCGGACGAAGACATTGTATATGGCGGGTGTCGTCGAGAAACAGAAGACGCTTACTCTTTCAGATCGATTGGTCTTATTCTCCTTGTACTTTTTCAGGAGTTTCCATGCAAATTTTCCTTTTGTTCGTATTTTGCCCTAGTTATTTTTAATTTGAGGATTATGACTAAGTTACCATGTTGGTATTATCTGGTGTTTTTGGTGTTTTTGGTGTGTGTGTGTGTGTGTGCGCGCGCGCGCCACTGTAAGTCGTAAGAGGCAGCTAATTATGCCCTGCATGCCGGGATGGTTTCTCCATTGTCCTCTGTAAAGGGAACTTCGTTTTGCCCAGGATTACAGTCTACCAAATTGCAACTCGTTGCATCAAGTTATTGTACCCATGGTATAAATATTTGCTTATTGCAGATATAAGTGTTCTGGGTACTAGTTAGGAAAACTACATACCTGTATATAGATTGTGTTGATTATGAGCGATGAACACTACAGATATTGAGTGTGCTGGGTACTAGTGAGGAACACTACAGATATCGGGTATACTAGATACTAGCGAGGAACACTACAGATATAGGGTACACAGGGTACTAGAGAGGAACACTACAGATATAGGGTACACCGGGTATTAGCGAGGATCACTACAGATATAGAGTGTGCTGGATACTAGCGAGGAACACTACAGATATAGAGTGAGTTGGGTACTAGCGAGGAACACGACAGATATAGAGTGTGCTGGATACTAGCGAGGAACACTACAGATATAGAGTGAGTTGGGTACTAGCGAGGAACACTACAGATATAGAGTGTGCTGGATACTAGCGAGGAACACTACAGATATAGAGTGAGTTGGGTACTAGCGAGGAACACTACAGATATAGAGTGTGCTGAGTACTAGCGAGGAACACAACAGATAGAGAGTATACTGGGTACTAGCGAGGAACACTACAGATATAGAGTGAGTTGGGTACTAGCGAGGAACACTACAGATATAGAGTGTGCTGGATACTAGCGAGGAACACTACAGATATAGAGAGTGTTGGGTGCTGGCGAGGAACACAACAGATAGAGAGTATACTGGGTACTAGCGAGGAACACTACAGATATAGAGTGTGTTAATTACTAGCGAGGAACACTACAGATATCAATGCGTTGGCTACTGTCATAGAACACTACATGTATAAGTGTGTTGGCTTATAGCGTAGAACACTACATATATAAGTGTGTTGACTACTACAAATGTAGCGAGAAACACTGTTGAAGCTAAATAGAAAACTAAGCTTAAGATTTGATTTTGTTTATTTTTCATAAATAAGTGCAGACGCGTGGATCCGTTAAAAGAGTTAGCAAGCAAAGCATTATAACCTCCGTTTATTTGTTCTTTTAGTTAAGTCTCTCAGATACTCTTAGGTTCTCTGGAAACAAAATAAACAAATTAAGGAATGAAATTAGAAGAATGTCAAGGTTATCAATTAAACTGCATAAAGGACTGTTCTCATTTAATATGAAACCAAAAGCGAGTGTCACAGAAAAATTTCAAATATAACCTAATCCTACAATGAAGACACCGTCGCCATCTTTCGGATAGCCATGTCAGGAGCTAAATTTCACAGCAATCTCGAAAGAATTTATTTTCAAAGGCATCATATTTCAATCTCTCTGTTTTTGTTATTTTTCGGAGGACTATTTTACATTATGTGATGAGACTATCAGCCGTATCACGGAATTTTATCGTTGTTATTTTTACAGGGCGCAACATTAGAGTGAACACGCGACGCTTAACCTTCTGTATTACTGCACTCTGCATGCAAATTATACCTAAGTTGAAACCCGCTACCCTACGAATATCCGCGGCACGTGTTAGGGAAGATAGTACGTACACTTGATACAATTGTACTGTCTGTAACACCCACAGTCTTCAGTAGCCTTCAGCAGCGTGCAGAATTATTACGTGCATTATTCACGGTTCACTGACTAGAATTTGCACCTGTTTACGACGGGGTTTAAATTTGAGGTGAAAATTACATAATTCTATGTTGTAAATGGTCATCTTATCATATTGAGTGATTTAGGAATCGTCTCCATCCGTTCGAGCCGTGAAATTCCATCCACGTGTGTTTCCCTTTTTTCTCCCGTTGTCTTTTTTCATTATCTTTGCCGGTTGATATGCCGTTGTGGTATCGAGTGGAGCGTATATGCTATGTCCGAACTTTATCTGCCTTGCTCCTGTTGGTCGTGCGAATGCTGTCTATTGTTTAAGATTATCGCTAGATTTATTACCTATCCTGGTATGTGTTACTTTGCTCGAATTGCACGATACGCGTGCCCGTCCCTCTCACACCAATATTTCACACCGGGATGTCCATAGAACTTACCTCCGTAGATGCAGTTATTTGTTACTTTTATCTCTTGAGAAACGAGCCCAGGAATTACTAACATCCTGGTCAAGGGAATGTAAACCTACATCGTGGTTTTATTTCAGGACGAAACTACACTACCATGTTAACAAAAGTTTGTTAAAAACGGAAATTAACTGATTGTTAATTATCCCGAAAGTACAAAAAGATCACTTTGTTTTCTTTTTCTTTTTTTTCATTAACAAATACAGATTAACGTAGTTGTGGTTCAATGGACTGGAGAGAGAGAGAGAGAGAGAGAGAATTGGGGGGAGTTAGGGGGAGGGGAGTGTTGCGAGTGACTTAGTCGGTTGAAGTGTTTAGTTGGGTGAACTTCGAGTGCACGATTTCAATCCTCCTTCCGTCTCTCCCCTTTTCTTAGTTGTATCCCTGAAAACTCTTGAAAGAGATTGTATGTACATCCGTTAGAGTGTGATTCTAAGGACTAACATGTACAGGTATCGTTGTTTACAATAAATCAGAGACCCTGAATACATCGTTGTAACAATTGTGATTTTTGTAAAACTTTTCTAGGTGAATGGGTGGTAACACGGTATCATCTTACTAAACAATATTATTTCTGAAAACACTTTCAGTTACGGGAATCATAATTGTATCTCATGGGGTTAGTTTTATCTCTGGTATTGAATTACAGTCTCAGCCATGGGGCACTTGCAGTAGGAAACGCAGGAATGATATATGGCGTCACTTACCACAAATTATGTTCTCATTAATTTGCTATTTTGACAGCAACAACCTTCATTTTCCTTCTCGAATCTCCAAAAGTTGAATTATGTATTTGGTTTGAGCCACGCTGTATACTAGCCGTCCATTTTTCCACACCCCCTTCCCTAATGAGTATTTACTTTAACGGTAACCGTTATTTTATTGCAATGTTTATGAGAACAGCTCTGAAAGCCTTACGACTCTATGTTTGCCACCACAACACATTTCGTTCCATTAAAATGAAAGATCTATGATGCCGAGCTTGTATATTATTTTCTACACTTCAAACGAAACAGACAGAGGATAACATCGACTAACCCTGTGAGAAGTACTGGGGTGCGTTACTATACAAACAAACCAAGGATTCTTGCAGTATAGAGACAGATCTCCAATGACATAAATATCACTAGCAACAGACTTCGTAATTACGTACGTCTTAAAAATTAGCCACCGGTCACTTCTTGGTCAAACTTGGTGTTGTACATATTTTAAGAAATGAATCAGGACTGATTTCGACAAGAACTATTTAAAACTTCAATCTTAATAGCTTTTTTTGACGACGATTGCTGATTGGCTGAACTTTTATATGTTGTTCATATACGTTCATTGGACATTTTAAAATCTTTACAGACGCTCCGTCTTTGAGACTCAATTTATTCCGAATGACGTTTAATGGCATCAGAAAATATGGTAATTATGATTATATAGATATCCAATCTGACCATTGTATGCTGTTTGAAAATCTGTTATAGTGTATACATTGGTCTATGTCTGAGCTATACCCGCCTATATTAGCTGTTGTTGTTTTCTATTTGAATGATATCCCAAAAATCTCATTTAGGGTTCAATAATTTGTAAAAATGATCACGAAGCTTCATGATGATTCTCAGAATCTTGCTAAGTATCAATTTCTGTTTGGAGAACGAAATGCACAGTTTGGTGTTGTTCATCTGTGACTTACAATTAGGTTGTCATATGTGATATATGGTCTAATCCAGATTTCCATGTACCGGAACATCACCTTAAATACGATAACACAATGAGTTCAACACCTTCAAGGGCAAGACAATGGTGATGAGTGCCAAAACGAACATAAGACGCTACATTTGATTGGTCGAGACGGAATGGTATCCTTCCAGAAAGTGACTGCACGCGTTTTTCTTATCTACTGCGTGTCTGCGAGCTGACACAAATGCATGAGCCCAGCTGAAATGTTCATTGTCATCAACACACCGTACCTATGTAGCAGATTTATGACGGAGAGATCGCAATTGTCGTTTAGTTTCTCCTCATAATGGAAGAACCAGAACGACCGCTTAATCCAAGCGCACAAAATGGTTCTAACAGTACATGTGGCGGATATGCTTCCACTATGGGCCGATTTTTCCACCAGAGATCGAGTGCCTTTGACTGTATGCACCCTCCTTCCGGCGGTGTAGGAGTGGGGGTCGGGCTGCCCCCTCCCCCACCCTCGGGGTTCGGGTACTCTGGCTATCCCGGTGAGTGGGGTTTCATGTCAGGAACATATTCACCCGGATTTAATTTCAACAGAACGTTTAACACCCCGTCTGCCAATCTTTTCCCTGTATCAACCCGGGATTTTAACGTCTCCCTGCCTTCTGTGACATCAGGACCTCCTCCCCTTATAGGGTCAAGCCCGACCTCCGGGGTACTACCGTGTGAAACATCAGACGCATACGAGTCGGGTGTGTGTGGGTCGTCATGCAGTCCGTCACCCACAGGCCCCTGTCTGACAGACGACCTGGACCGGAAGGAAAATAAAAACAGAGGTAAGTTAATGACATTTCAAAACTAGTTAAGTATAAAGTATATTATTACCGCAAACTGAAAATATGATTATTTAATATAATTATTTTGTAACAAAAGTGTTGTAGTATAAAGCTTAATTAATGTTAATTATCTGTATAGGTAACTGAGTAAGGTCCTAAACTGACCTTTATAGGGATCATACACAACCGATAGGGACGACTAATGGGGCTATTTCGTAACTTTTATTGCTACTGTAAAGTTACCCAAATGTCTAAAAGAAGAATACAAATGTTATTGTAAATGTAATAAATAGATTTATTTTTATTTATCTCTTTATATACTTTATTAGCTTTATCTAAAAGTATAACATTAGATCACAATCACTGTACCTGTATCATCAAATTATATAAAATAGTTACTTTAATATATTGTTCCCAATATACGATATTACCTATGTTTTCTACAGAATCAAATCAAATATTACAATGTACTCAAGGTATGTTTTACTATCACTGTATAAACATTACATATAGAACAGCATAGGCCTTTTAAATAATTGGTGACAATAACGAAGCTCTTCAATACAAAAAGGCTAAAAAGTGTCTTTTCTCCTTTTTCGGAAGTTTTTATTTACTTATTTATTTATTTATTTATTTATTTATTTATTTTGGCAACTATATCATAAATGAAATCACCAAGAAAGTTCTTCCACGTCAGAATAGCTACAAAATCAATGTTACATGAAAAGAAATCTTATTTGAAATATTTTGTAAACAATTCTATATATAGCAAGGCTAATGATATATATCATTAATCTGACAAAACAAAGTGTATCTATTAGTAAATTCATAAAACCACACCGTCTATAATAGCTATGATATAATAGATATAACGTTATAAATGGTTTATACATGTTTTTCGTTCTCCATTTTGTACACCTTGTTGATAAATTCTTCACCATCATATACCGTGTAATTTTTGTAATTTCAAAGTTTGACTTATTGGCTTTATTGAAAATCCGCGATAAAACGTTGTACTGACCAAAACTTAGCACCTGTCTCCGTAAAAGCTTCGTGGTTTTGAGGAAAACGGTTGTGAGATCGTATAAAGCCACAGAATTTAAAAAAAAATCCCTCTCAATACCACTTAGAATTAGAGTAGAGGCAAATAATGAGTTCAGCTGCATCATACAGCTGTCCTTCTAGGATTCATCAATAATACCGAGTGCCTAAATTTCGACGCTTATTATACAACAGAGAAAAATCAAAAGGAGATTAAAAAAAACAATAAAGAAAATAGAATAAAGAAAATCAAAATTTATATGCAGAGGTGCATTAAATACTTATTTCGATGGCTCAAAATTAAAATATCAATCGGAGCTGAGTATATACCTGTCATTATACCAATAGTGGTATATACATAACCCGATGGTATCATTTAAAATGCCACGTGACAGGATATTTTGGTAATAATTGGTTTCCTTTGTAAACAATTTTATTGTGGATTTTTGGACATCGTATAAATATTTCTATATTTATCGATTTGATGTCTTGTTTTAGCACTATATAACAATATTTCACACATAAATAAGTGAAATTCTTTTTCCGGTCGGCTTTTATATGAAATAAGAACGTCAACAATTGTCCAATTACCAATCTGACTGTCCGAAAATGCGTTATATTTGAATATCAACATCAAGATATCGATACTTAATATTACATACATGTATACAAATATAAGTGTTATCATTGATTGAATTGACCAATCACGAAATTATATACTGTGGCTATGATGACTTCCTATCAAAATTATACTATTGTCGATACCAGATTTAGGAATAAAAAGATATAGTATTTGTGTGTAGAGGTTTCGTTTGGTCACGGCGGTGTTACATATTTAATATTCCTAAGTTGAAAAAAAATACAAATAATATATTTTTAAAACCATTTTCGAATTAAGACAGAAATGCCAACAACTCAATTTGAGTTAGTTCGGAGAAATGATATTTTTATATTATCTGGACAATCCTGTCTGACTTTTCGGGAGCTACAATTAATTGAATAAGACCATATGATTTGTATTAAGTTAGGAACACAAGATGCAGTAGTTTAAGCATAATTAGTATCGAATTGCAAATATAAGATGTTGTACAAAATGTATGAACAAAGAAATATAGGTGCTGTTTTAATTTAAACTAATTGGGAACTTTAAGGAGTTGAAATATGGCGTCACTTTTTCTTTCCTTTTTTTTTTTTGTTGTTGTTAAAACAGGATACAGACAATATTTTATATTCTTCTTACCCTATTCGCGCATCAAAATACATCAATAATACTGCGTTCTTTCCCAAAAAAGGAATAGTTTTGTTGAAATTGAAACAGTCAGGATTTATAAATACTGATTAAGAAAAAAGACAAGATTATCTTATTTAAATAATTACAAAAAACAACTGAAAATGCGTGATTAAAGGTTCATTCTGCGTTTATCACGAATATACATTTGCGATGCTATTTGCTTTGATAGTGTTTGCTGCCGCTGCTCTCAAAATCTGTGGAAAATATCATTTATACGACGCTTAACTAACTCCCCAGTAAATAGATCCGACACTAAATCTCAGAGACAGTAGACACAAAAATAACTTTGATATAAATTTACTAGTCAGTGGATACATGTAACACTATTTAACACGACACTGTATTTTCCAAGTCTAATGATTCAAACGAAAGTTGACCACTTTATCACTGATATTGAGTTGATCATGGAACATTTACTTACATCTATCATCTTAATCTGATTGATAGATCTCTATTACATCTCCAGTAACATGTGGTTCCAATCTACTTTCAATTTCTCTCAAGATCGTGTTGCCATTGCGATTGGTCCATCACACACCCTTGGCTTCTCCACGTGCCCCTTCGGGTGCTATAAAACTCCTTCAACACATAAATCATACACCGATGTAATCTCCGCTGTCAATTAATGTATTGCTAATTTACGCCCCGCGTTGATCACTTAATTAATCAACGTTTAGCGAGATCCGAAGATTGGGCTGTAGAATTGTCTGTTATACTGACCAAGGACTCGCACTGACGACTGCTCAACTGCAGTCTTGGAATAAGCACAGATTTGTGTAATTCTCAACGAAGTCATATTTCAAATTTAAGCACTTCTTTCTTCGGTAAATCGATGAGATCGAATGAAAAATGTTGAAGATTATTTTTGGAATATCCGGAAAAAAGTTCGATCCGCAAATTGTCCAGTAGACTTGTCAGTTGTACTGAACAATGGGCTCATGCGGACGACTGCTGAACTACTGACTTGGAATAAGCACAAATTTGTATAATTCTTAACGAAGTCATATTTCAAATTTAAACACTTACCTCTTCGATAAATCGGCGAATGAAAAATGTAGAAAATCATTTTTTGAATATCCGGGAAAAGTTCGAACGAATTCTATACAATACAACAGCTTCATTTGCCGAAAGTTTGAAAATCAGTAAATGGCATGTAAATCGGTTAAGTGTAAATAGCATGTGACGACTAGGGGATCTTAGGTACAATATATCCACCCTAAAAAGTAATAATGTAGTTTTGGGTAAAACGTTCATATCAAAATTCGGTTGATGAAATCAACGCTACACCTATGTATTACATCTACTCCATTTGTGACAAATTATCTTTATATGTATTGGTCACTACTGTAACTACTGGAAATTAAATTGACAAATGATTAAATAAATAGAAATTGATTAATATAGTGATATCGAGCGAGTAATGCATGTCAGACACGAGTAATCGTTATTATCAGACAAGCTCGACCCTTACACACGTACGCCGGTCTGTGTGGAACACCTAACATTGCTCTGTGTCATCTCGTGTTGATGGAGACATATCTATACTTAATGGGGCGGATAGTCGAGATTGGTAATAATTGTTAATGACTAAATTTCATTGTAATACTGATAATTCTGAAAGTCTTGGATCTTCTATACAGATAAAGTTGTACATAGTCATTTGATAAAGACAGTGTTGACCTTTGATTTTGGAAATTATATATCTACTAGGTGGCGCTGTGATAAACACAGAACGTCATGTGACAATCATCACTGAAACAGAACGCGAAGACAATACAACTGTCGTGCATAGAAAAACATGAAAATACCAACATGTCAACATAACACAAACTCAAGTTCAATAAAACTATGGCAAAATATGAACAAAAGGCATATTTACTCGGAGACTTCTGAAAATGTTCAAGGAGAATAAGTGTTCCGGAAGAGTATGCGTCTTCTGTGCCATCTATACTATTACGTAATTTTTTCGAACTATATATATAAATGCAATGTAATGAATGATAATTACAGGATGGAAGTTTGCAATTCATACACAACATCGCATGAAACATTCCAACTTGTGAAAAACATCGCCATTAACGCACTCGATCTAATGAAGACTTCATTTAAAGTTTGGTGTACGGTGCTCGTCAGTATGCCTGGTGATTTAAATGTCACCGACTTACTAATTAGGTTCCTTGTCAATGAGATATTAGCCCTGATTTTACTAAAAGTAAAAAATATTTTGACTTCCGAAACATCTTGTGTTATTCTTCTTGTACGTTATCGCGTTACTCGAGTGAACATGTTCTAGATTTTGATATTCGGTCATCTTTTAACAATTTGAGGAATATGTGTTGTATACCTTCTTGTCCTGTTGTATTATTAGCAGCGAGACATATCAAACCTCCGTACGAATCATTCAATAACAGATAATTATACATGTACCCAACACCCTTAGTGATAAATCCGGGGTTTATTGTTGTAGCAAAGTCTTGTGAAAACAAGTTTGTGGATTTTAAAAAGTCATGTAAAAATATTTGTAATCACGTACTGGGATACATTTGAGCCTATCAGAATTTTCAGTGAAGCGCGCCCGTTGCCATAACTGCAGTGCAAGGTGTGTCTAGATTTGCAAGTCAGATGAGGGCTACTGGCGACCGACATGCAAGGCAGATGATTCTTTAAAATAGCTACAACTTGGTCTTTTGAGTAGAATATAGCTAAGCAATTAAAAGATTATTCTGATATTTTCCATTGCCCTGGGTGGCAGTCATAACAAGTAGTTCTTGGTAGTGGATCCTTTCTGGTTCGTGTTGTTTGAGTTCCTCAGTGTATGATACAGCTTACTGTTTTTTTCTCTTTTAAACCCATCCAAGGTTAATGAAATCGAACATCTCTTTTAAAATGTTGTAGCGAGTTATCTTTCATCGATTGTACAGGGTCATATCAATTGTATTTACAAGCATTTTTAAAAAATTAAAGATGGGCATGTTGTAGTTTTTTTCTATTTCTCTTTTAAACGTGCTCCAAGGTTATAGAAATTCTATTTTTCTTTTACAAGATTTTCTGAGCTGTCGTTGTTTGATATCTCCATAAAAAGAGTCCCGTGATTGCTCCAATGGAAATATAATCACGTTAACCTTAAAGAGAGTCGAAAGTTCAATCAAATACTTTTAATTTTTCTAAGTGTTTCGACAAAATTACATATTAATTTTATAGTAACTATACTTTCATCGGCCTTAAAATGTCAGAGAAAATTATGAAATCCCAAAGAGTGGAAAGAGAAAAAAAAAGGGAGGCCGTATAAAAGACTGAAGATATAATACAAAACATCGAGTATTTTTTCCTCCTGTTTAACATTTCTGAGATTACATGTTTTCTTGTGCTTGTTTCCCAGTTATGTAGTTATGTATTAGTGATGTCTACATCTACAATAGACGTAATAGACTGTCCAGTTTATTTCCTTGATATTTTACAGATCTATTCATTTCGTCACCGACTCGTGTAATGTCTATATATAATTGCTGTAACATCTGCAGGGAGAGAGAAATTGATATAAACGTTTTTATAATTCCTAACTGTCTCTCATATTCTATGAGATAAAACTTATTTCATCGCTTGCCACGTTTTTATTCACTCGAATAGCGGAACTGTTCAGAAAATACACAAGTCTTTGACGCTATTCTAAAATTATCTGATGTATGAAAATTACGGAATTTATCTAATTATGGGACTGCTGCATCTCCCCGTCTAGATTTTGACTTTTCTTTCGATCACTTTGGATTTTCCTTCGTCGCTTCCAAGGCTTAAACATTTTAGCATCACTGACGATTCATAGAAGGACAAAACAGCTGTATGATGCAGTTTAATTCATTGTTTGGCTCTACTGTATCTCACTCTAAATTGTAAAGAAGGTGCTACTCACTTGTGTTTCATTTGTGTATCTATATCGTCTAATTGTTGGTAATGGATTATTGTTTAAACCGAAATAATTATTGGGATTTATTGGGACGAGTTAAATATCTTTCGTAAAACCAGATGGGAGGATTCTTGCATGTGTATGGTTCTGTCATAGCGACGGTGTTTCTGATACATGCTCTTGTGCAGGTACAGTTTGACCATCCATGTAACAAACTGAAATTTATAGGACAAAAATAACTAGTGTGTCTTTATTTACAGATACGAGCGACCCTTATAAATTAGATTTATCAGTAAAACCTAGAAAGGAGAGAACGGCATTCACCAAACACCAAATTCGGGAACTAGAGAAGGAATTTTGTGTCCATAACTATCTAACGCGGCTACGTCGATACGAGATCGCGGTGGCGTTGGACCTAACAGAGAGACAGGTAAGTCATCATTTTATCTGATTAAACCTACGTCGTTAACTATAGTATAGTTTAGTTACATAGGAATACCGGGGAACACATGCAAAGGGTCATTTTGATGTTCTGTTTAATTTCAAATACTTAAATGTAGTGTCAAACATATAACATACATTGTGATAGTCACGAAATCACATCGCATAAGGAAACATGCCATTTGAAAACTGGCGGACTAGAAACGTTAGTACACGATGATTAAAATCACTGGACTGAATACTGTCGTGTAAACTTCATGATGATTCCTGTAATACTTGTTTAATTGATATGACAAAGACACAACGGAACAAAGGCTCTTCTGCATATCAGTTGGTTTGCCAACGTTTTCCGAATATCTGGCGCCAACATTAGAGATTTCAATGCAAATGTTTTGCCTTAGATAAAATTATGGATCAAAGACGTTCAAGATATACACCTTTCATTGATAGCAATGCCACTTATATTATACATCAGTATTACATAATGTACTGATCCTGCCTGAAAAGATGGACTGCTTTGAATATAAAATGTATTCGAACATAATATCTTGGACTTTTGTGTTCTTGTACATCTTAATATATATAGTTGTACTTGCATGTATAAGCTAAAAACATTGTGTTGTATCACGTTCTGAAGAAATTCTTCTCACGGATTAATTTTTGAAGACGTAGTTGACGACATAATGAGGTTGGGAATGTCAATATTTTCTACTGGCTACTACTTTTCTTGGGGATAACTCTGGAAGTCTTCGATAGATTCTAACTAAATTTTGAAAACAAAAATATATTACAAAAAGTCACAGATTTTGAAATTGTAAATGCCGACCTTGTTGACAACTTTCTCTGTTAAAGGACCCGTAAACAAATAAGTAACTTTGTTTCTTGACCTCAGAAAAAACTGGCAATTTAAGTGAAAATTGAAAAAAGCACAAAGACTCCATTTTTATCATTAAAGATATCCTCAAAAATTTCTCTATCTATATATCAAACATTAAGTCTTTTAAAAAGTCAAATAATAGAAGATGGTCAGATTTAAGACATTTTTAAAAATTTTGGTCGGTACGCAGTTCGTTTAATTAAATGAACACTTAGATTTATCACATTATTTATTTCTATGATATCAAAATATCATACTTTCAATGAAAGACGAAAGTTAATCTCAGAAAGTTTCCGGAAAAATAGCAAAAAATATCTGTTACCCAGGAACGGTTTGTTTCTTTCCTTCACTATCTGAAATCTAGCCTTAGATTTTACCTTTAACCGAACCTTTACCTAAAATATTACAAAAAAAAATCACAACCACCAAAACAAAATTTAATACTATTTTTTGTAATTCTCAAAGGAGAACCTTCGCAACAGAAATCACTGGTGGCCATACCCACCTTTTACCATCCTACTCTTTTCACTTTCAAGAGGTAGATAATGATATTCAAGATATAAAACATATCCAGACATCACTTTTAAGTTCTGCATTCATTCCAAAGTAAACTTGCAATTTTTGTTTTCCCTTTTCTGTAGTGTTCTGTAAACATTTATATCTTGATTCAGAATTATCATTAAGTGATACATAACAACGCATATGTCCAACATTTAGAGTTACATGTTTGCTATATCATAAATACGCCAATCTGTCTCATATCCATATATCTATTGATTTGATATCTATACCTACCTTTATTGATCAGCAGTGGCTACTAAACATTAAAACATTTTGTGTATGATGAGAAGTAGTTGATGGTTTTTAACGCTATACTGTTCTAAATAAATGAACATAATAAAATACAGTTTCCTATTTTGAAGGTATCTAAGGTATTTAGATATATATATATATATATATTACTTATCTCAGTAAATATTGTTTATGTTATGTATTTATCATCTTGATATTTATTTTTATCATATGAATAAGTAATATTAATTCCTAACATTTTAAAAATGGTCCAAAATGAGATACAAATCTACAAAATGTATTTCTCCTTATTAAATCATACCTGAAATAGGGTGTGATTACAATTCTTTTTCTTTGAAATATAAACATATTTTTGGACATATGAAGCTCTCACTCATTTACGTATCTATTTTTCCAAAAGTTGGTTTTTATATAATGTGTTTAGAGTTACGAGATGGGTAAAAAGTGTTTAGATTAGGTTTTAAAAAGTGTTATACGTTACCATCAATATTGACCGGGAAAGCCTAAGTAGACTATGTATGCATGTTGCTCAATCCGATCGTTAACTCAATAAAAATATTTCAAATTAAATATTTATATTTTTTTTTGTTGTATAAAGATACAACCAATTGTTGATATTATCGATTACTACATTTTGTAATGCATTTAATAAATATTTGCGATCGTTATAATACTTTACTGTGGGTGGCACAAAACCAAAAGCAATAAGTATATTGTAACGAATTGTGATAATTGTTTCCAAATGTTATCCTCGGTATTGCTATCAAAGTGTTGTATAAATGACATAATAGTAAACACTGTCCAATACAAAGTCTCGCATAAGATACCGTATAGCCGAATCATGAATTAAACCTATCATACAGCTGTTCAGCCCAGGCCTGAGGAGGCGAAATAAATAATATTAATTGAATTTTAAGGATTTTTATTTTTACATCTAAAGTAAAGTAAATAACACTTACTGTTACATACAAACAATGCTGGATTTTCAATAAATCACATTAATTTCCATGTGAATGATAGTATTTAGTAAATGTTGAAAAACAACACTTGCTATTAAATACTATTTTATTTTTATGCAATGTAATCTAAATATTCTCAAACGCTAAAATTTACAACTTATAACAATTACTTTACTTTTTGTTATATACAAATCCATAGTCATTGTCAACAGAAATTTGAATATTAATCTTTAAAATGATACAGTTTGGTATTATTTTATTAGTAGGATTCTGTGATACTCTATAGGTCTATATCGATATTACAGAGTAGAAATATCTTCTGTAATGAGGGAAGATTATGGCTTCTTTTGCTGAACGAACCCACGAATAACATTAATTGTTCAATGATGCCTACCGAATACAATAGGGTATTTTTGTAATAAGAAGGTAACTTATCACGGCTAAAATACAATATTCCTATAGAAAGATCTTATACATGACTTTAACACGTTTTTGTAAATAGAAACACAATTATAACCGTATTGCTCTGCTACATTCGGATTATAAAGGTGTAACAAAGTAATACATTTTAACTATATATGTATGTTGTGTTGGGTTATTGCAATATGTCATTGATGTTTTCTTTTGGTATTTCCAGGTAAAAGTATGGTTCCAAAACCGACGAATGAAATGGAAGCGCGTGAAAGGTACCAAGTTAGTTAAGGATAAAGTGGACGGTCAGCTGAAACCGATAATGGCACCAAACATCACCTCTACAAGTGTCTCACAGGCCGACGATACTCAGAGAACTTCAGTATGTGACATGCCGCCATCTTGAAACCCAGTACTTATCATGTGCGTGATTTAAACAAATTTCCTGGCGGACTTTTGGGATCTCAGAGAAGACTTTTGTGTTGGGTTTGCTTCTGACGAGGATGGTGGGCAATACATGTAAAACAATGGCAGCCGTTTTGAAGAGATAATGAGTGATGAGACTGTGATCGCAGACAAAGGAACGCCTTCTAAGTGGTGTGTCTAAGTCGACCATGTCTGAAAAATATACCCGTGAAAATAAATAAATAGTCCAACGAAATGACTCTTATTTATACAACTATACACCACAGTATCAAATGTTCATTTTCAGACACTGATTGAAATCACAGATACAAGCAAGGATTGTCAGATGCATATGCTTACGGAGTGTGACGAAGATCATGAGTGTGAGGTGATTGGGTCAAAGGTCACCTGAGTTCACCTGACCACATGAGTTTAGTAAGTGCAAACGGCATTTGCTGCAAGGGACTGCAAAACCGGACAGAATGTCTTTACGGAAATTATTGTATGACTATCGTTCCACTGCTCCGAATAACGTTTGATCAGCAGAAACATTTATATTGTGACACGATATGCCTGATATAATACCAATGACGAGGCTGTAGATTATATGTGCATGTATAATAACTCCAGTCCAATACAATCGAAAATCGTCACATGTTATGTAACCGTTGAATGACTACACGTACCTGAAAGAATTACTTTCATTCAGTCAGAGTAACAGTCATCTAACAAATGAAAACGCGGTATTCATGTCCTTGTATGGTGCTTTGTTGTATAACATCACAGAAAGACTTACGTCTGTAGATATTACATATTATGTTTTACGATGTATCAATAAGTTGTATTTTAATGCATATATTTGTATAATAATATATACCTTTGTATTACAATTTGTATTGCGTCACACAATGTCGCGCTCATTCACGCCGAGAATCGATCGCGAATCTGTGATTTGGGGTAGTACATGAAGCCAACATACACGTTTCCTACATAAGAAATGATGAACAGATATTGGTCGGTGAAAATGTGATATGAATGAATGCTGGAGTGTTTGTGTGCCATTATTTTTATCTGGAGACATACACAAACCGAAACAATATCTCACTGTTTCGGGGTTCGCATTTGAATCAAATGTGATCCTTTGAGTTTCCCAATATATATTATGTGGAGTTATTTCCCCCAAACTATGAGATATTATCTACATGTAATGTTTATCTCCGTTTTAGTAACAGGCGTGTATGTGTATTATCGCGATATGGATGGGTATGTATGTAATTACAGTGTATTTTGATAAAATGTATTACAATTTCAGAGTGTTGTACGCATAACTGAAACATTTGATTCGCTATAATTTATTGAGATATGTTGGATATATGTTCAGTAAAATATAAAAGGAGGACATTAAAAGTTAACATATCATTTATTTTTTCCTTTTTTATTGAAAAGTCATATCATTATGGAATATCTGTATATTGAACATGATATTACATGCAGTAAATATGAGGTAGTCCAATGTAATGTGTCCCCACCTCGTTTTTCTCACAACTTCTGATTTTTACTCGAAATTTTTCATTGCTATTCATAGAACGCATTATGTTTATTCAAACTTTTATCGAAATTATCGAAAACATCGATATAATCGATAGGTGAAAAAGAAATTAGGTCCTTTACCAAGGTAATTGATCTTATGGAAGTGGGTTTTGTTTCCAGTACAATAAATGAATTATGGGTAGTTCTCCGTATTATAACATCCACCACACTTTAATGAATGGCAAATGGAATTTATAACACATTTTTTCATACAGTGCGTTGCTGTGTTCGCAGATAAGGCATAGAAGAACTGGATCCTTGTTTACGAACACTTCAGAATTTCCAGCACACTAAAAGAAATAGGCTTGCTCAATGACCAAGAACACCCTAGCAATACCTTACCATTACTTTCCAAAGACAAACTGCTTGTTAATCTTTCTTCAGTATTACGATTATTCAGATCAATGACCTAAACTTCACAAGAACAAACATTTTAAGCTTGCACTTCTAGTTGCTGTTCAATCAAATGTTTATTCAACTTCTTAGTACGACCCCCTCCCCAGAAAGCATTCGTCTATACTAGCATGTTTTTTACCCATTCTTCACACTACTAAAACAATTTCAAAACAGATCACAAAGACCTTAGCCATTCATTAAGTTGAACGTTAAGATGTATCTAACATATTTTGCCTTCAAATAATGGGAAATTTACTTATCTACCTTCATCGTTTTAAGCGCATCAGAACCGGAAATTAAGGACACGACAAACTCATCCTCATCAGTCGCTTACCAGGAATTTTCCTTTCTTCAGCGAAACTAACAGAAATTCCTTTCCACCAAGGGAAATGATTTTGATTTTCCTATTGTGAATTTCCATCTCTAGATAGTAACATTTAACCCATTTTACAAATAAAGGAAATATATGGAAGACGAAATGATACAAAAATATAGAGTTCCTGGTTGACAATATCTCCGTCAAGTTTACCAATCCGTTAGTTGACTTGTTTTTCATACGAGGCTCTCCTTATCGAAGGACTCATCAAAATAGGTTAAAATAACATTGTGATGGCCTTCACCTTCATTTTAAGAGCTATTGAGAACATTTTGGTTTTAAACAACAAGAGATATATTGACATAGGTTCGTCGTGTTTACACCCACCAGGATTGGAAATCACTGACTGACTCTTCTACCGCTTATCTCGAGTTTTTCCTACAGCGAAATCAACAAGGAAGACTTTTCAACAAGCTGTAGGCTAAGCAGAAATAGATAACGTTTACCCTTCCGGAATACCTGGTCTTATTATCCTTGTACATTTTCAAGAGTCTTCACGTAAATCTTTCTTTTGATCTTGTTTTTCCCGTTTCGTATTATCTGTATTTGAATAATGATCCCGTTATGACGGCACATTCTTTGTTGTTTTTACGCTCAGATAAAATTTGTATATGAAAACATATTTTCATGTGTACAACTCCACCTTTGAATACAAGTTACACATTGTACAATACCAGTGCAACAATATGACTGAAATTTGTTAAAGCTAAATTATAAGACATCATTCGTCTCCCTGCACCATACATGTTGCACAAGAATGTCTCCATATAAGGAACCGTTCATTCTCCTCTTAATGTGCCCTGACATTACGTGTGATCTTTGTGAATTTAAAACTCAAAGTGATAAGTTTGGGACTTTTTTTTGTTTTTTGTTAAATGTTCTTTACCTGAAATATTCACAGTGATTCATTACACGAATGAATAGGTCGAATGTTCTCACATTCATCTTTTCTGTTACCATAGCTTTATTGTATCAGTAGAAGGCATATCACTTCCTGTCAGTATAATATACAGGGCTACTGTATCTTCAAGAGAGTCATTACCGGCTAATATTAATAGGTTTTGTCGTTTTCCGCAATTCTATCCAATGTGTTGACAGGCCAATAGATAAGAGAACATGTGTTCCGCTTGTAAGTGTTGATGTGTCATTTTCATCCTTGAAACCCGTTATTAAAAGAGTCTGACAAATTGTACATTCCAATTTAATTTCTGACATATTTGTAGATATCTAGATATCATTAACAACGTTCTGTGGGTTATTTTGAATATTTTGTGAGCGATACAATACTACATAGATTCCTACCTACAAACATATATAAGACAATCACTGCAGGGTACAGTGCCTGCTCTCGTAGGATGCGCAGTCGACGTCAGATCACTCTCTATGATGCGTGTAGTGAATGATTACCTCGATTAAAATAACTTTTGAATATAGATTATATTTTTCTTTTTAACCAATAAAATATTAATTAGTATTGTCGACTGTTTTTTTTTGGTATGACTTTGTTGTTTCCTGTCTCATATTAATTTATATCTATTTTAAGACCTAGGTATATTCTACCCTGAAATGTCCACTGTTTTCTTATCATTTCTACTATTTTGCTTTCTTGTGAAGCCATTTCCTATCTTTTTTTAATCCAAGTAATCCAATCCTGAAATGAAAGTGATACTAAAGTATCCATGATGGTAACATATCCGGCTTTCACTTAGCCGTCCGAGGTTCGATTCCCGTAATGGACGTGAAAAAGTATGGGGTCACTGGGTGATTAATATAAGTTGGGAAAACTTGTTTCGCAATTGTTGTAAGATAAATAAAGTTTAAGTTTAAAAGAAACAATTCAAACACTGCACGTATAGCTCTGATCGCGTTTAGAAGGAATAATATCGGCATCTCATGTTGGTGTTTATGTATTTGTGAAAACAGTTATTTTGTGGAACAGGAGTACCCATATAATAACTGATATATTGTTTACATCACCAAACAACATCGAAACTGTCTATCATATCTGAAAACAACAAGAAAATACCAACATGTCAACAAAATAAAAATTCAAACACAAAGTTTTTTAAGCTGATTTCTAAATTACATTGAAACGTCTCATAAACAGAGGATCTTACATGAGTGTCAATGTATTATGGAATTTATTAAACGAGTTCAATAATTTGATATGCCTCGAGCCGATAGCCGATAGATAAAATGGAAAAATCGCCAGAAAACTACGATTTACTTCCACTATGCAATCAGCTGTTTCTATATAGGTCAAAACCAACGCACAGTAATCATAATTTTATCCATCCGTGTTGCAAATAGTACCTTTCTTCAATGATTGAATAAGAGATTGTTATGTTCCAAAATAATATCGACAAAGTAAAGTATTTAAATTCTGCTAAATGCCAAAATAACTTTTAAAGATCACACAAAAAAATCTTCTGGAAATTCACTTGATATTGGTAACATGACGTCACTCGCCTCGTCATCACGGGTCATCAGGTTCGGCCTAACTGCTCCAGTTACTGGGAGTCACTGTCACTTTCAATGATAGCTTTTCATTTATTTCTGGTAACTCAAAAAAATTATACAAAAGTTTCATGTCATACAAAGTTTTGCTCAACGTATTCTTGTTTGATTGATCCTGTATA